TTCTTGTCCAAACAGAATTTGCCAGTTCTTAAGCAAAATAAACATGTTAATGATTTCAACAACAGTGATGGATGCAGAAGCTTTTCAACAGTTCCTTAGTAACAGCTTAGTATAATAGTGTAATTACTTCTAAAGTTAGAGATAATTTTTGTCACCTTAGCACAATAATTGGATCCGAGCTTACTATATGGAAACTGCTTCTCTCCTTGGGCTTCAGCTGTTAACAATCATAATTTATGGTGATTTTAAAAAAGATCAAAATCTAGGAGAAAAGAGAGGGATAATTGGCAGGAAACAGATTCTGCCTTAAAATCAGAAACTATATTTCTGATTATTTTGGTGGGAGCATAATTGATAATAAAGCACATTTAAGCTACCCTCTCACTTCTTCGTATGTATAGTCAAATATGAAATGGACGCTACATACAGAGAACAGGATGGGGGCCTTTAAACTTTTCTGTCAGCCTTGATTCCAGGTTCATGAGTTGAGAACTTAACACTTCCTCTCCTTATGGGCCAATTGGCTGTTCATTTGGGTCAGACATCTCCTATTATACCTATTCTGTGATTCTCTTGTGGACATCAAGACGAGAGAAACTTTATGCAAATTCATCAGGAGTTGGATGTTCAAAAGACAAACCTGAATCAATGATGTTCAAAAGAGAAACCTGAATGCATGTTCAAAAGAGAAACAGACATGAGGGTTACTGTTCCTTAACTCTGTCAAGACCTGGAAAAAAGGTTCAGGGATGCATAATCATTGTCACCTCATTGTAGTCCTTAAAATGACTGATAGATGTCTACACCCTAATATAAGCCAGGTCATAGGTTATATGGTAAGTAGAATTTAAAGTCGCTGATGTCCTAAGATATTTTGCTGGATTGTCTATTGGGCCCAAGGTAATCACAAATCTCCTCCTTATAAGTAGAGGAGGTGGGAGGAGTGATGTGAGTGAGAAAGGCTGGATTGGTATTGCATATTTTGAAAAATGGAAGGGACTCATAAGCCAACAAATGTGGGTAGGTGGCCTCTAGCAAGTGGAAAATGTAAGGAAGTAGGTTCTTCCCTGGAGCCTGAAGACAGGAACACAATCCTGCCAATCTTTAATTTCAGCCCAGAAAGACCTATTTTAGATATCTGCCTCCGGCAACTGTAAAAAAATTGATCTGTAGTTTCAAGTCATTAAGTTTGGTATGGCTGTAGAAAACTAGTACTCCAACTTCTTTCATCTATCACTAAATCCTGGGCACCAAGATGTGTAAGCACATGGAGAAAGAATCAGTGACTCAGTTGTCCTAAAGTCAGTTTAAAGCTTGGCCAATCAGTGGCATCTTGTCAACATCCACCCAGTGGAACGTGACTACCAGGCATGAAGGAGTCAAGTCCTGCCACGCAGAAGATAACAGGTTTTCTGTGAATTTGGAAGTTTTAGAGTGACAAGGTCATTTGCAAGTATAATAAGTCAGAAAGGTCCCAGTGGAAAGGGTAAAGTATCCCAACTCTTTCAGGTATGGCTTTATTAATTTTTTAATGGAAGGTTAAATATTAAATATTTTAGTTATGTCTAATCCCTCCAGACCTCTTCTTTTATGAATAGACTACAGTCACCTTGCAATTCATTTCCTTTCCTCGTCCCCCAAGAAAGATAATGAAGAGAAGGAGCATGAAAATAGCTTTTAGGAGACAATACAAGTGAACCATACTCTGAATGTTTCTTCTTATGCTTCTTACATTTGGTCATCTGCCTTTGTGATTCAGCTACTGTGGTCTTTTTTTCCTATAATGTAAGTTATGGCAGTGCAGAAGGGCCTAATGTAAAGATCAATTGGCACCCACAGTTATTTGTGCTTTTAATGCCACTTTCAGATTTTACTGGTTTTTACTTGAAGAATTTGATCACTGGGTACACTGTGGTGTTTATGAACACTTTGTCTGAAAAAAATATCTCTGGGAGTATTTTTATCTAAAAGCTCTTGAGAAGTTAGATAAACTCAAGTCTGGTAACCAATGGAGGATTCCTTACAAGGGAGCTCTGTCAACTTTTTTGATAGTGTGCCTTTCATTTCAGAGGTTCTCTTGATTGACAATGGCTATATAAGAATTATTCTGGGGCAAAAATCAGAATTCTTATTTTGCTTTTTTGGGGGAGTGGGGGGGCTACACTTTATTGTGCTCAGAGCTTACTTCTGGCTCTGCGGTTAGGGCTCACTCCTAGTGGGCTTGGGGGACCATATAGGGTGCTGGGGATTGAACCCAGGTCAGACACATGCAAGGCAAATGACCTACCTGCTGTATTATTGCTCCAGTCCTAAATATCAGAATCTTACATAAGAATTTTACTGTGCTTATGATCTGTCTTTTTTGTGAGAACATTTCTGAGCTGATATGGAAGTTAAGAAGACACCTTTAACCATTAATCTAAATACAACCTGTCAAGGATGTGTTTGGTGTGTGTGGCCATGCCAAATAATATGGTCTATGAGTAATAGGTATTGTTTTGAAATGAATTGAATTCCCTTGTTGACTGCAGGCCTGGCTTGCTTCTAGAGGGAGGCTAATGTTAGAACTGTTGGCATTTCAAAGCACTAAGCCAGATGGAGTTAATGGAAGCTCCTAAATGCGGCTGGTGGAGGGCATTGAGCACAATTCTCAGAACATCGACATCTGCCTTAATTGTTGACATTTGGGATCCTGATTTAGCTCCTCCACCCCCATCTATCTGCTTCCAGCTGATCTAAGGAACTTTCCCCAAAGATAGATAAGTAGTGGGAATGGTCAGACCACAGCATTTAGGTACAGGTGTAACGCATTGCATCAGGAGGCGATGTCAGAGAGATGGATGGGAGCTCAGGACCCAAGATGCTGTCCATTGAGGAGGCCCCGGTGAGGCTGGAGGGCGACCTCTCCCGGTTCCCACTCTGAGAGGCAATGCTCTTCTCACAAGTTGCTCAGTGATTGCATCCGAGGTGGAGGAAATACAGGCTGCCTGGTAAGTTCAAAGATGCTGACAGGCAAAAGCAACCTCTGGAACCATCTCCTCCCCACCCCACCCCCCGCCTCCTTTCCCAAATTCAGACACTGATTCTGGTCTGTGAAGCCAAGGTCAGAAAGCGAATTAGCAGAGGAGCGTCCAGCTTGAGGTCCTCACTGGGGCACCCTAGGCGACCCACCACCCCAGGGGTCTGTTTTTAAGTAGCTTTGAGGTCAGATGGGGGTCCTTTGGTAACAACCAATGCAACCCTGTGCCTGGTCGTAGCCTCTTGAGGTGCGGGGTCACAGCAGAGCAGGGACAGCTGACACATGTCAGGAACGCACGCGTTTAGGAAACATGACAAATGCAAATGCAACTCTGTCCCTTTATTTAGAAATGTGTTGGGATGTGGAGGGGTGTGGCTGGTGGGTTCCAGTGGTTCTTGTTATTCAGCACCAGAGCCAAGGCTTGGGCGGAAGGCCATGATCTCCCCGGTATTCCTGGTGGTTGTCCTGTCTTACAGACACAGGGTCATCTGAAGCGCATGTTTTCTGTATATGGCTTTATCCCAGACACAGTGCAGTGACACACCAGAGGACTTGGGTTTAGAGAGAAGTTCAAGTTGCGGACGGCCCAGCAAGGAGCATGTGAAACCCTGGCCTGGCCAGTGCTGCTTCTCTCTCTGGGCTACACAGGGGTGTGAGTCAGTCCTGAAGAGGGAGGAAAAACAAATGCCCCCTCACAGGGCAGACACACGGCAACTCAAGCCTAAGCCAGGGTGACTGGGCAGGGGTCTCTTCCCCACACAGCGGCTTGGAGACTGGCCTCAGGACCACTCTTGTGAGGTGACTTTCCACGGCCTTCAAAAGATTTGGGCACATGGGAGCTAGCTCTCTACAAAGGGGCCCTTCACAGGGCTGCAACATCACACCACGCCATTTCCAAGCTGGTGAAAGACGAGCTTTTGATTCCCTGGGAAGATGATGTGGTGACTAATAGATGCTAAGGGGCAGTAATCTCCCTCACGCCAGGGAAGCAGTTTCTCACCTGAATCCCCTAGGTTCAGGTGTCTGAGAGGAAGCCTTTTGCCTGTGTGAGGATTGGGAGCATGTTGGGGACAAGAACGGGAGTGAAGGGTGAGATGAAGCGGATTTTTCTTCTGCCCCCTGTGCCCCGTTTTGGCGAATCTTCTGACCCAGCTCTGCTCAGGCAGTTGTCCTCAAGTCCTCAGCTGAAGTTTCCTTCCAGTTCTAGGGTAGAAAGAATCTGGCCTTGCTTTTGGGGGATCATTTTTGCTTTCCTCTCCACCCTGTACTCTCACTCCAGCCTCAACTAATTCACTCTAGGCCTTTCCACTGTGGGCCACAAAAAAAGAGAACCCCCATCTCCTCCTGGAGGCAGAAGGGTGATGTAGGGGTCTGCAAGAGACCAATGCCAGGAGGCACCAAGTGGTGGAATGCAGGAGCACTCCCTCCCCACTCCATTCCTTTTTAGGGGTCTTACAGCCTTAGCATGGGAAGGGGGGTTGGCAGAGGTCAGGAGAGGACTCAGTGGGGTGAGAATTCAGTCCCAGTTGTGGGTAGTTTTGCCTCATCCCTGGACTATCCCGGGCTTTGCTCATTTCCCATCATTGGCAGCTATGACGGCACTGAATCTGGGTCACACAAGTGGTACCTGTCATTGGAGTGGGTCAGGCCTGCAAACCTCACATCAGCCTGATTGAGCAACCCTGCACCCTTTTCTTCTGGGCAAAGTGGTGTGACCTGCATTGGGCCACAAAGTAAGTAACTATAAAGTGAGGTCCTAGAATGATTTCAGTTTGAAGCTTCTCTGCACTTCCTGAATACATCTTACTCCTTTTTTTCTTCCATGCTGTTCACCTTGCTCTGTAAATCTCACCATATACAAGTGTCATCCAACTGAAGTGTTAGGCACCATGATGGGTTTGGCCAGGCAGTTTAATGGCAATGACCAAATAGACAGAGTGGGAGAACAGGGCCCCTGTTCTCCACAGGACAATACTTTGAGCCTTTCTTACCAAATGCATTCCCACTTGCATTCTTTGGGGCCGGAGCAATAGTACAGGGGATAGGATGCTTGCCTTGCACATGGCCGATTTAAGTTCAATCTCTGGCATACCATATGGTCCCCCAAGCTTGCTAGGAGTGATCCCTAAACACAGTGTCAGGAGTAAGTCCTGAGCACTGCTATGTGTACCCCCCCCAAATACCAAAAACAATTCACATGCCACGTCCTGTCAGCTCTGCTAGACAGAATTTCTGTGAAAGTGACTCAAACAAGGGGCTTGTATGTTATCTTAGCTTCCTGGCTTGCTTCCCAGCAAATACCACTCACCTCCAAGTGGGTGGGAGGTAGATCAACCCCGACACCAGGGTGGACAGATGTGCCACCTCCATTAGCTTGCCCAACTTTCAGGGCTTCTGAAAAGGGGTGTTTCTGTCACCAGACATGCAGGTTGAAGCCATAAGTCACTGATTTGGGTCTCTCTTCAGATCTCAGTTCTGTCCCTGCCTTTATTGGGACAGCTAGGCAATGCTTCATCTTCTAGAGTTCTACCCCCTGGCTTTCTCTGCTCTTCTCCTCCCCGTGATTAGGCAATGGTAGCTTCAAACCGCAGGATGCTTCATCTTCACTCTTTTGGCCAGGTCAGCGAGAACCACAATACCACCTAGACCAATCATGCCGGCATCAGAGCTGAGGCACCCATAGTGCATTGTTAAAAAGTCTTCCTTCACCCACAGATGTGATGAGACAATATGAGAACAACAGACAAGCTTCTTGGTTGGGACAGGACATTTTTACAGGAACCCAGGGGGAGGTTTTGACAAAGAGCCCAAATCACAAGGGGACTACACAGTTCTTTAGATCAAGGATTTGGGTGGGGGTTTGGGTGAGAGTAGGGGAAGTATACATTATAAAATGCCACCACCATATTTTAATATTGTATATGGTATACACCCTGGCTGGCAAAGTTGGGGCTTACATAGAACAGATACGTGCAGGTAGCACCCACTATTGGTACACTATGAGATTTGGTACATCAAACTGTTACTTGAGGTCTATGAAATGGTTAACTTGTCAGAAATGGGAAAAGCCATCCCATGAGAGATCTTTTTAAGGAGAAGCTTTAAGAAACATTTACCATCTGCTTAACTTGGAGCCAAAGAAACACAGCTCCCTTTTCTATATACATGAGTTTTTTTCCCTTTGTTGCATTTCCCAGTGATTAAGATAATTTCTGGGAAAATAAGAAATCAAACCAAAGATAGATCAGCCTCGCCAGAAGGATAGTAAGCCTGTGGCACTATCTCTTTGACCAACTTCTTTGAATGAGGAATAAAGGTTCACTCTAGATGGCCTGTTACATATGTGGCCTAAAGCCAGGCTACTACGCTCCATGTTCCTGGAACTGTAAGAACTGATCTCAGTGGTCAAAGCGAGAAGGCGGGAGTCTGTGTTTAACTCGGCTATTTCAGAAGCACTTTGTCTCCTCTCTATAAAACAACTTGATTCTGGCAGAGCTGGGGTGGTGAGAGACAACGTGCAGGGCCCTTTACGGGGCCGGAAGTAGCAGGTTGAGGGAACAGCAGTTTGCACAGGTGGTGCACTTGCTGGGGGGTGTCAGGACCAAAGCAGAAGACGCCCCACTCAGTGCAAGTCTCTTAGTGGTGCTCTGCATCTCCCGAGAGCTCGGTTAAGGTAGAATGATTCTAATGACGCTAAGGAAGTGCGCAGCAAGGAGCCTCCATGCAGAGCCTGTCTTGGGCTGAGCGGAGCCTGCCAGCCGGTCCGAAGGCCTCCCCCTAGCAAAGCCCGGGGTGCACCTGCAGAGCAGCAGCTCTTGCCACTCTTTCCAGGCACTCCCCGTGACCTGGCCCGCCTCCCCAGCCTGCGTGGCGTGGCTCCCGCCGTGGGCCAGCCGCCTTTACTTCTCGTCCTCATCCCCCTCACTCATGCTGCTGATAGAGGCTGAGGCCGCCTTGGGCGATGATGGGGGCGAAGTTTTGCTCGGGAGCCAGGCGAAGGTGGGTGAGGGGGAGCGAGAAGGAGAGCGGCTCCTGGTAGGACTGCTCACGGGGCTCTGCTTCGGAGACAAGGCCTGCAGCATCCGGCTACTCCTCTCCTGGAACATCTGCTTCTGGAGAGAGAGCGGAGAGAAGGCATGGGTGTCAGTCATCCGAGCAGAGGCAGGAAGGCGAACCGCGACCCCAAAAACAGCCTGCTCCTGCAGATCGTGTTGTACGAGACGAATCTGGGGGGGCTGCATGGAGGAGGGGAGCTGAGCGCAGTTCTATGGAAGCGAGTCATTGCTCCACGTTACCGCCACTCTTCGGCCTCTCTCCTAGCGGCATCTCCATCTACTAAAGGAAGACCACTCACCAGGCAAATCTGCTCCTATTGCCCCAGAAAATTTAGGGTACCAGAAGAGTTGCAGGGAATAAAAGATAATGCCCGGGTTGGAATGATAGCACAGCGGGTACGGCGTTTGCCTTGCATGAGGCCAACCCGGGATGATTCCCAGCATCCCATATGGTCCCTCGAGCACCACCAGGAGTAATTCCTAAGTGCAGAGCCTGGAGTAACCCCTGTGCATCACCGGGTGTAACCCAAAAAGCAAAAAAAAAAAAAGATAATGCTCTCAAGCAGGTGCAACAGTACAGTGGGGAGAGCATTTGCCTCACATGCAGCCAACCTGGGTTCAATCCCCCGCATCCCATATGGTCCCCCGGCACCACCAGGAGTAATTCTGCATCACCAGTTGTGATCCCCAAAGCCTTCTCCTTATGGTTATGAGAAGGAATCACACAATAAACACAATGAACCAAATCTCTGGTGGGCGAGAGGGAACTATGACCTGTGAGAATGGGTGGCTGGAAAATGGGGCTGAGGCCAAGGGGCTGCAGCAAAGTGGCCCGTGGAAGGGCAAGCACCAAGAAAATCAGAGTCAGGAGCCCTGTGGTGGCCCCGGGAAAAAGTTGGCCGTTGGGTCTCCGGTAACCCCCCCCTTTTTTTTGTTTTTTGAGTCACACCTGGCGATGCACAGGGGTTACTCCTGGCTCATGCACTCAGAAATTACTCCTAGCGGTGCTCAGGGGACCATATGGGATGCTGGGAATCAAACCTGGGTTGGTCGTATGCAAGGCAAACCCGCTACCTGCTGTACTATTGCTCCAGCCCCTCCAACTGGCAACCTCTTTTACCTCTGTGTTCTGAGGAAAGGCATTAAGGGCCCTCATTTTATCCTAGTTTTTATTTTGGCTATTTCTACTTTATTATTTTTATCATTCAACAACATTTATCCAGTAATAAACAACATGCTTCTTTGTGTGAGTTTTGGGCCCCATACCTGGTGGTGCTCAGGGCTTAGTCCTGGCTCACTCCCAGTGGGGCTCTGAGGACCATATAGGGTGCCGGGAGTTGAACCTGGGCCAGCTACATGTGAGAGAATCCCTTAATCTCTGTACTACCCTCCACCCCTGGTATTTTTTCCCTCACATTTTTAGTGTAGTGTAAATTGCTTAAAACTTAGTCTTTAAGTCTTTAGTCAGGGAGATGGTTCCACGGGCTGGAGCATGTGTTTTACATGTAGAATTCCAGGTTTATTCCCTGGTACTACACGGTCCCCTGAACAACACGGGGTGTGACCACAAAAGCAAAAAAAAAAAGAAAGCCCACCTCACCCTTTTAGCATGCAGTTCCATGATCTGTGAAAAGTGCCTACAGCTGTGGGAGCACAGTCACAGCAGGGGAGTTCTCCCCCACCCCAACCTCGCCCTGTCCCCCAGCCTCAGGCTTCCCGCTTTCTTGGCTGTTGCACAGTATTATCTGAGTGGAACCCTCCAGTCTGGTCTACCTACATTTACAAGGTGGAGCCAATAGGGCTGGCTGACAGGAGCAATGCTGAGTGAAGTGGGAGAAGCAGCAAATCCAGGTTCTGGCCCATGAAGTGGGAAAGGCAGCAATGCAGTGCGCTGAGGTGGGGGCGGCAGGAGAGGTTGGCATAGAAGGATGGCATTTCCACGCTGGGACCTCAACTGACCATTTCCTGGGGCTTTCTGAATGGAGACTACCTACCCCTAGCCCTAGTCTTGAGCTCTCAGTATCAGGCCAGCTGTTCACTGCTGCCCGCCTCCTTCCAAGTGCCCCCCTCCCATGAAGCCCTGCCTCTCTGCTGTCACTTCTCTCCACGGCTCATCTTGGACCCTCAGCTCCCAGCCCAGGCCAATCTTCTTATCCTAAACTGGTCCCCTAGAGCCACTTTAGATTTAACTTGTCGTTTAGTTACTCATCTTAAATGTGATGGGCCCCCTGAGGGTTAGGTCAAGAGAGGAGATTGGAGAAGAGGATGGAGTTGGTGACCATGGATGCTGGTGCTTTTGCAGAGCTTGAATAGAGGGACTGAGAATGTGGGGGTGGGGGCCAGGCGCCAGCTTCAGAGCAGAGGAGTCTGGGGAGCGTGTCCCGAGCACAGCTGCGCCACCTGACCCAGGGGCACCAGTAACGATGGAGCTAGCAGGAGGATGTGTTTTCACCCCAAGAGCTTCATGCAGAGACTTGAGTCAACAGAGGTGATGATCATGTTTTTGTTTAAGGAATATCTTGGGGTCTGAGTATAAAAGCAAAGAAATTAAAAAGGATGCTTAATTTTGTATTAGAACTTTAATGTTTTCTCATCTCTCCTGTCCCCCTCCGCTCAACGTTTTCTTTCCATCTCTTGGACAACAGGGGCCAGGTCTGAGGAGTAGGGTGCAAAGGTGGTGTTAAGGAACCATTGAGCCAAAATCCAAACCACAGGGTCAACAACGCTGAAATCAAGAGACCCAAACTTGAACAACTTAGAAAAGTGTCTGTCAAGAGGGCAGGCTGCAGGTTGAGGGGACATGAGAGGGAACCTGGGGACACTGGTGAAGGGAAGTTGACATTAGTAGTGGGATTGGTGATGGAACATTGTATGCCTAAAACTCAACTATGAATAACTTTGTAATTCCTGATGCTTTAATAAATTTTTTAATTTAAAATAAACCTTTAATATTTTGTACCTCAAGCCAACATATAATAAGATAAGAGGCAAATGAAATACAAGGCAACTTTTTGTTACGATTATACTACGATTATGCTACAGCAACGGAGCTTAAATTGAAAAAACAAAAAGTGGACCAGGATCGTAGCTCAATGGGCTGGAGTACCCTGAACCCAATTCCTGGTACCACATGGTTGCCTGAGCACTGATGGAGCAACCTCTGAGCCAGGAATAGCCCCTGAGCACTGCCAAATGTGCTCCAAAACCAAACAAAAGGTATAAGCTGTAAGAGAAAAATGAGCATATGGCATAAATGGACAATTCCTAAAAGACATAGATGAACAATACAAACTGTTCAGCATCACTAATAATCAAACACACAATGACTGAACTGATATTCCTTTTTATCAGGTTGCTGGGAATAGTTGTATCTTCCTAATGATTTTTCCAGTTTGACTGGCATAAGCACATTATCAGATTAAGGTATACAATGTGATTCAACTTCTACGTATTGTAAGAGGATTACCATAATAACTTTAGTTATATAAAGAGAGGTGCTTTTTCCATTTGAGGAGAACACTTGGGATCTACTCTCAACGTGCATACACCATAGAGCAGTGTTAATGGTTGTCATCATGTTGCATATTACATCCTTGTGCTTGTCTTATAACTCAAAGTTTGTACCTTTTGGCCACTGTCATTCAATATTCTTTCCTCTTCGCACGGTCCATCTTTGGTAACCATGAATCTTAGCACTGATTTCTAAGTTTGGCATTGTTTTCTCTTTTAGGAGCACTGCTCAGTGAGTCTAGGATTGAACCCGGGTCTCCTACATTCACTATGAACTGTTGAACTCCACTCTCTTTGCTTCATGTTAAGCAGCATTTTAGTTTGATGCAATTCCACCTGCTTATTCTGTTGCTTATGCTTTCTTTAAAGGTCAGGGCCAAAAAAACACCAATGGACTGGCGTGGTAGTACCCAGGCTCAATCTCTAGCACTCCTTATGGTCCCTTGAGCTACTAGGAGTGATCCCTGAATTCAGAGCCAGGAATAAGGCCTGCACACCACCAAAAGTGGCCTAAGACAAACAAGAGAAAAAAAGAAAGCCAACCCCAAACCAAGCCAAATCAAAACAAAAAAATAAGACCCATGTTAAAGAGCTTTAGTGCTTGTGGGGGAGGTGAGGGGATAGTGGTAGTGGTATTTTTTTAATTTCTACAAGAAATTCACTTAAAAGAGTTTTTTTAGGTTTGTGGATTTTTTTTCTACTTGACTCAATGTGAGATACTCAGTTACAAAGTTGTTCATGATTGGGTTTTAGTCAATACAATTTCCAACACCCAACCCTTCACCAGTGTACTTCTTCCACCACCAATGTCCTCAGTTTCCCTCCCACACCTCACCCTAAGTCTGCCTCTATAACGGACACTTTACTTTTCTCTCTTTTAACCCCCCTTTCTCCTTTTAGACACTGTGGTTTGCAGTATTGTTACTGAAAGGAAATCATGCATATCAGTTTACTTCCTTTCAGCACTCAATTCTTGTCTAGAGTTGTCATTTCCAACTATCATTGTCATAGTGGTCCCTTCTCTCTCCTACTGCACTTCCGCTCCTTGTGTCAAGTTTCCAACCATGAACCAATCCTCCTGGCTGTTAGTTTCTATCTTCAGGTATTCTTATACTATTTTTTATATCTTGCAAATGAGTGTGATTAATTGATGCCTGTCCCTCTCTCTCTGACTCATTTCACTCAGCATGATACTCTCTAGGTCCATTCATGTAAAAGCAAATTTCATGACTTCATTTTTCCATTATAATGACTACATAGTATTCCATTGTGCAGATGTATCAGTTTCTTTGTCCAGTCACCTGTTGTCAGCACTTGGATTGTTTCTAGATTCTAGCAATTGCAAATGGGCTGTAATGCTCATAGGAGTGCAGATTGGTTTTTCTGCATTACATTTTTGTGCCCTAGGGTATATTTCCAAGAGTGGTACTGCTGGGTCATATAGAAAAATAATTTCTAAGATTTTTGAGGAGTGTCCATATTGTTCTCAAAAAATTCTGGACCAATCTTTATTCTTACCAGCAGTGAATTAGAGTTGCTTTCTCCCA